GACTCCAAAATGAGTAGTGCTGGGATTAATCATATGTTGTTTGTAGTATGTGCTGTGTTAAGACTTCGTTACTGCTGTGAATGGAGTTGACCCTTTCACCAGTCAGTCCAGTCCTCCGGTATCGTTGTGAAAAGAAAAGATGTAATAATAATAACGTATAATCAGAGTAGGCTAGTCAGACTAAAAGACAGAAAAAGAAATAGAGAAAACGTAAAAACAAACAGCCGGTTAGTTTTGGAGTTCATATACATGCATAAATATATATGCATACAATATCAATAGTAATAATAATAATGAGTGTAGTAGTTGGAGCAGTCAGGAGAGTAAGACGCGGGAGAATGTCAAGAAGTAGGACGACGAATTTAGTTGTCCACCCATGAGTGGTGTATGGGATTTTAAGAGAATAGACCATACTCACTCAATGGAAGAACACCATTGTTTAGGTGATTCTGGTCATTTGTCATCTTGGATGCAGTAATCTAACCCCACCAACCTAATCCGACGGTAGCTAAGTGTGAATCGGCATAATTTCATTAGCTTTTCATCATACGGTTAATTTCGGAGACCCATCACTCCCTTCCTCACCCGTCATTGGACTCTTTCAAAGAGGTTTACATCCCTTCTGAGCAGTGGGGAGAGACTCAAATCTGGAAAGTCCCCAGGCTGTGATGCCATCATCCCATCTGTTCCGATATAGTACCGAATCTCCCTGTAGGCCTTTATACTACTTGTTCCAGCACTCGATGGATTTTGGGAAACTGCCAAGGAAGTTTTGAAGAGCCATCATTTCTGTGATATTCAAGGGTGGAGATAGGCAAAATGCCACTAGTTATAGACCAGTAGCCATACTCCCAGTGGCATCAAAACTACTGGAAAGTACTATGGATGATCGCATCGTGGAGCATCTCGATAGGACTAATAGACACAATGGAGCACAACATGGTTTCAGGAGAGGCAGACCCTGTGTAACAAACCCACTATCAGCTTGGGGCGATTGGACATCATGCTGGGATATGAATGTCCCAGTTCAGGTGGTCTTCCTAGTGTTTGTGAAGGCATTTGACACAGTTCACCATGAAGTCACTGAGGTCAATCGAGTCCGATCACCTTGGCACGACTCATCATCAGGAGTATCGCAGTGTTCTATCCTAGGACCACTGATGTTTTTGATTTTTATCAATGACCTGCCATGCTGTCTAAGCTGCCCAACTCTTCTGTACGCTGACAGCGTAAAGATGTGGAGGGAAATAAAGTGTTCGGAAGGCTCAGATAGGCTGCAGGCAGACCTAAAGGAGTGATGGGTCTCCGAAATTAACCGTATGATGAAAAGCTAATGAAATTATGCCGATTCACACTTAGCTACCGTCGGATTAGGTTGGTGGGGTTAGATTACTGCATCCAAGATGACAAATGACCAGAATCACCTAAACAATGGTGTTCTTCCATTGAGTGAGTATGGTCTATTCTCTTAAAATCCCATACACCACTCATGGGTGGACAACTAAATTCGTCGTCCTACTTCTTGACATTCTCCCGCGTCTTACTCTCCTGACTGCTCCAACTACTACACTCATTATTATTATTACTATTGATATTGTATGCATATATATTTATGCATGTATATGTATGAACTCCAAAACTAACCGGCTGTTTGTTTTTACGTTTTCTCTATTTCTTTTTCTGTCTTTTAGTCTGACTAGCCTACTCTGATTATACGTTATTATTATTACATCTTTTCTTTTCACAACGATACCGGAGGACTGGACTGACTGGTGAAAGGGTCAACTCCATTCACAGCAGTAACGAAGTCTTAACACAGCACATACTACAAACAACATATGATTAATCCCAGCACTACTCATTTTGGAGTCAACCAAAGCTCCGACGGTCGAGTTGCGGGAGTAACTACTCAGAAGTTTACCGAAGGCCAGGAATCCTTGCCTCACAGGGAAGAAGCGAGCAAAAAGAGATCAGATTGGCTTATACTAGGTCGTAGAAAGGATATTGGATATCAGGACTCAATATCATTGATGACATATCATAATACTGACGCAAACCTGGCTAACCCGTACAGTGGTAGACAGCGAAGTCAGTGTAAATGATATGGTCCCAGTCAGGCGAGATAGGGATCTGAAAGAAGGAGTTGGAGTCGCCATATACGTCGACAAACAGCTCAGATGTGTCCATGCAATGGACCCTCCCCTCATTGAGCTCCCTGACTCCATATGGTGCCATTTCACCGTTGGGTACTGTAAATATCTAGTGGGCAGCACTTATAGATCACCTTCATGTGGAGCAGACCACAACCAGGTACTGCTGAATGCAATTTCAGCGACACAAGACATGGGATATGATCAAATTGTCACAGCTGGAGACTTCAGTGCCCCATCTCTTAACTTGATGACGGGATATGCCCATGATAGATTTGATCGAAATCTGCTGCATACCATCAGGGAGGCCGGATTCGCTGAAAATGTCAGAATGGATACTAGATGGGGCCCAGATGGGGAGTCTTCTAGACTGGATTATGTGCTCACGAGTGACCAGCTACTAGTGGAAAACGTTCAGATCACGACTCCCATAGGTAGTAGTGACCACGCGGTCATAACATTCGACGTAGTCCTCCGCGAGCGTTTACAGTGGGACAATACACAGCCCTATCTGTGTTATAACAAAGCCAATTACACCGAAATGCGAAGACTTTTGTCTGAAGCAAATTGGCCAAAAAATTGGACAGAGCTCACAGTAGAAGAACACTGGGGAGTGGTAAAGGAGATCATTCACCAGGCGGTCTCAGACACTGTTCCTTTAGTCACACCAAAAGCTAGAAAGCAACGTTCATGGCTAAAATGGGGGACACAACGCCTTCTACAGGCGAAGCGAAAAGCCTGGTTTGCGTGGCGAGTATCGAAGAGTCGGCCCGAACATGAAGTGTACCTCGAACTCAGGAATCGATGTAACATACGAGTCCGGAGTGATAGAAAGACATTTCAGAGAAACCTCGCCAATAAGCTTCTCGTGAACCCCAAAAGCCTATACAGGTTTATGTCTGAAAGAAAACCGACCAATCAGGGAGCTTGCAATCTAGTGGGCTCTGATGGGAAATCTCTTACTAGTCTTGAAATGGCAGAGACATTCAGTCTAGCCTTTCACAGGCAACTGAACAGTAACGAGGATTTTACCCCCACAAAACATCAAGATTACAATGCAAGACCAACGTGCGAAAACCTGCTGGGTACATTTCAAATTACCCCGGCTATGGTACTCGTAAAATTGGGAAAGTTGGCTTCGGGAAAGTCTGCAGGTTGCGATGCCATAAGACCATCCGTCCTGAAGCAGTGTTCAGAAAGTCTCTGCCAACCCCTAAGTGATCTGTTTCAACACTCCTTTGATGTAGGGAAACTTCCGTGTGAATGGAAACGAGCCATCCTATCCCCTATCTTCAAGGGTGGTGACCGGCAGAACGCGACCAGTTACAGACCAGTTGCGCTACTCCCAGTGATATCGAAGATATTGGAAAGTCCCATTGACGACCACATGAGAAAATACTTCGACGGGACTAACCTACTCCATGAAGCACAGCACGGTTTCAGGAGGGGAAGATCCTGTGTGACGAATCTACAAAATAAGCAAGGCGGGTGTTTCTGGAGCACTTCTCGCATGGCTGAAAGATTATTTAGGCGAGAGAGAATTCTGCACCAAAGTCAACCGCATCCGATCATCCTGGCACACCTCGGCATCAGGGGTTCCTCAGGGTTCTATCTTAGGGCCGTTGATGTTTTTGATTTTTATCAACGACCTGCCCTGTCAACTGAACTGCTCTGAGCTTCTTTACGCTGATGACGTAAAGATTTGGAGAGCAATAAACTCATCGGAAGACTCCGACAGATTGCAGGCTGACCTGCAAACTCTGGGAGACTGGGCTCTGGCTAACGGAATGCCTTTCAACTTAAAGAAGTGCAAAGTAGTGCAACTTCATTCCGGCAGGTCACAGAGTGCAAATTACACCCTTGGTGGCCAGAACTTGAGTTGTGTGCCATCAAAACGCGACCTAGGTCTTATTTTAACAGAAAAGCTAGACACCAGTGTAAATTACACGAGGGACGTCGCCAAAGCTTACGCTACTTTACACTTTATGCATAGGCAGCTGGGAGCTCTTACTCCTGAACTATTCTTAACGTTGTATACGACATACGTGAGGCCACTCCTTGAGGTGCATAATATCATTGCTCCTCCGCTACTCAAAAGGGATGCTAACATTCTAGAAAGTGTCCAGAGACGAGCGACAAAATGGGTGATCGGCCTCCGCAACAAATCATATGAGGAAAGACTGAAGAAATTAAGTCTTTTCACACTTATTTACCGTAGTCACAGGGGAGACCTCATCACCGTCTATAAGATCTTAAATGACCAGGCCCAGCCTAATAAAAGCATCCTGCCATTAAGTGATTATAGGCTTCCACGAGGTAACCCGCTAAGGATAGCACACCAGAGACCAAAGACTCGAGTGCGTTCACATTTCTTCTCGCTTCGAGTTTGCCGTCTCTGGAACGCTTTACCGGCGGCCGTAACTACAGCGCCATCTGTGGAGACTTTTAAGCGGAAGCTGGACAATCATGCAGAAATGCATGGTTTGTGTCTCAATGGCTTATCCTCTTCAAATTTGAAACCACATTGTCAATGGATAAGCATACAAGCTAAATCCCCACGAGCCGTCCTGTCTTCTCCCACTGTACCGACTACTCTATCTTTTCTTTCTTCCTTTATTATTTCACCTTTATTATTTCACTTATCTCAACCTATATTATCTACACTACAACCTATTATTATTATTACTATTCTACTTTTATGACTACACCGAATGACCAACGGGTGTTAGGTCAAACTCCATTCACGGCAGCAGCTGAGTCCTAACATACTGCACACTACAAACCACAATCTTGACCAATCCTCGCACCACTCCTCTTGGAGCCTACCAGAGCTGAAGCAGTCGAGTGGCGGGATTTACTACGCATAAGTTCACCGAAGATCTGGAACCTCTACCTTACAATCAAGAAGAGAGCTCAAAGAAATCACTGGTTTATACAAGCTCGTAATCAGGATATTGGATATTGGAACTGGACTATTTCGTTTGTGTGTACTTGACCCGCGCTGTGTGAGTTTTGTCATTGTACAAACCTCTTGTCGAGCTGTCGTGATTATCTTGCTGGTGTGACAGTCGGTTGTTGTATTACAATGTCTACGCCGTCTAATGCTCTTCAAACTGGGACGTCGGCTTCTGATATGGAGAGTGTTCGCAGGCTGGTGTCTTCGCTAACGAATATGGAAACCCGAGAAAGTGCACTTTTGGAGCTGTGGTATGTTGTATTATTAACTGTTGAGTCCATTTATAAAGCAAAATGAGGGAGTCTGTGCCAGAACTCGCTCCAATCCTCTGGCATACATTTGGTTCCATTGCTGCATTGCTTCAAGAAATATGCTCAATATACCCCTACATAAATCCTCCCAACTTGAGCGTAAGTTGTCATTTTCGCCGTATATATACATATATGCATATGTGGTAAGATAAGCAGCAAATCCTGTTTAAACCATTGGCAAAACACCATTGTGATCGAATATGTAAAACTTTCCCAGTTGGAGAATGGACATAGGAAATGTGGTCTAAACGGGCGATTTCGATCGGTCAGGTCAGGTTTTAAGTTACGGATAACAATGGCATTGTTTACTAGAGATCAAAAGGAGCATAACAAAGAAAGAAACACTGATCTAATCATAGGTTCTTTGGCAATCTTAAGGTGTAACGGAATTGCCGAGAAAGTGTGTTATACTAACCGATGGAAACCTTTCTTGTCTGTCATTCTTCGATTTAACAATTGGTAGACTGGTGGGTGTAAGTTTGGTGGATTGCAGTGTCGTGGGAAATGTTTTGGTACCAGGGTCTGATTTAATTGAAGACTGACATGATACCTCCTGAGCAGAACTCTGGGTATGTTTGTCAACTTTTACGTGTGCTTCTGAGAAGTGTGAGGACTCGAACAGCTGCACTTTTGCGTAAAGTTCTACGTTGGAAATTCAGTCAACTTCAGATTCTCCCATTAGGTCACAGGTTCAAATGTCATTGCTTCTATTCTTTGAGTGAAGTCACTATAGATTTCACGAGGTTGTGTATTCATTTGGCTTTCATGCATGGAGTTGATTTTGTTTGAATTTTTCGCATAGATAGTTTGCGTGAGAAAAATAACTCTTTCAATTGATATACTTGCATTTATTCATATTTTTGTGACATTTGTGTATTTAGCTGTATCTGTGATTGTACCATATGTAAAATAACCCATCAATGTATCCATGTTTGCCTTTATAGGCCCATCAATCTAATCGTGTTTGTAATGCACTCGCTCTTATGCAGTGCTTGGCATCCCATCCAGAAACCAGAAAGGAGTTTCTGAAGGCCAACATACCTCTGTACCTTTATACGTTTTTGAATACAAATAATCAAACGCGTCCATTCGAGTACTTAAGGTTGACTAGCCTTGGAGTGATTGGTGCACTTGTTAAAGTGAGCGTTGTTTCTTATGCACTTCAAAACATCATATTTGCGAACGTTTTTGTGAATTGATGAAATATTCTTTAAAAAGTTAACTTGTATCATCTGGTTAGTGCTTGATTGATTTACAAAAGCTCGTTGAAATTTGACTATCTTTTGTACTTCTAGCTTCGAAGCTTTACTTTTGGAAAAGTAAGTCCACAACTTTCGGATCACGTAACGAAATAAGTGAAAATGGCTCCTATTCGTCAGTTATAGGTGTGAGTTTTGATCTTTATCTTCTTGGGCTTTCCTACAATAAGACAGATTTATTAGTTTACTTGGCGAAACACAATAATAGCGTTATTTATTTACTGATAATATTTCAAACTATACTCCAGCACGGTGCTCGAATTCTCCTGCACTATATTCTTTTCAAAAGAAGTGAGCCCTACCCGGATTTGGTTTGCTGAGAAGCTTTTCCACCGGGTTCCGAATGTAATTGAAAAGGAGAAACCTGTGACAGTCCAATTACTGACTGGTTCACATATCAGTTGCATATGTTATTTCCCCAACTTTGCTACCACGTCTTCATTTTATGTTATTATCCTGGAAACTAAACTTATCATCACGTTTATAATCTACTGCGAAATTGATACAGAGGTGAGCTTCACTTAGCTTTTCAAATATTTTGGATACACGGTTTGTATTTCCGCACGTAACATACATGCAGTAACGTACAGTCTTCTATTTATGGTTTCAGTAATGTTTCTACACTGTGAGGAAGGGTAACAGAAGTAGCTCAGTGTCAAAGCCATAGCCATTCCATTAGCTTACCAGTACATGTTGGTTGTTGAAAAGCAGTAGTTGTCTCAACTTATTTTCAGTAAGAGCAAGTAATCCCTGTTGGCGTATAGTTTGAATGTCGCATTCACGAGTGCGCTTATGAATATTAGATAGAAATCGTATGATACTAAGAGTATTCATGCTATGCAGTTCTAAAAATGTTCCGAGAGACTGTGAACTGCCAAATTTCTTCATATGAGTCCCGTCTTTTGTGACAACTATCAAAGTAGCTTGTTAAATGATAAAGCATCAGTAAAATAATGGATATCTAGAGCCCATCTGATTTGTAAAGTTAGGTTGGACTATCCATAGGTAGTTCCATATTAATTTGTTCATTAGATATGTCACATACTTGAGCATTTACTGGGTGACGTTTCGAACACAATTTATTGTCCATGATATCAATTATTATATGATATATCTAGTAGGCGAATTAATATGGAATTGCTTGTATCCACATGTGCAGTTTCGAGATCGAATCGACTGTATTCTTGTGTTCATTTGAATAACAGTCGCGTTTTAAACATGACAGTTAATTATCAGGAATAAACTTTCTGTCTGGACGTTAACTCTATGTTTGGTAGAAAATTTTGTCTGTGATGTTGAAATACTTTCTTTACTGTTGTGGATTTTCTGAGATAACTACCATAATATTTAGCAGTCTACAGGTGTAAATCATGAAATGAAGTTAATGCAGTTTATTTGATAGATTATAAATTGGACTATCAAAGCTGGTCAGCTGATATCCTGAAGTTCGGATGTCTGTGCAATGACTCTACACACGATTTGGCTATGCAACATCAGAGGTATTCTGGTGTAAAGAATGAGTTTTGAAAACAACCTGTTAACAGGTAGTGACCACAGAGTTTATTTTAGTCTGCTCTCTCGCTGTTTTACAGCATAGGTTTACTGCTTCATGTGATTGGAGATGGTGTCTTTTCGTGTTAAATCCATTTCGGTAAGGACGGGTGCAAAAGTGATATGATATTTAGACCAAATCGTTGATACAGTGATTGGATAAGTTAATAAGAATTTGTAAAATATGATTGGTAATCACTCAGTTAAATTAGAATCGCTTTAGTGTGAACCAAAAATGTTGATATGAAAGACGAAAGCGTCATGTAAAAGAAAATAGGTGAGACCCGAAACACTGGTCACTCAAAACGTGTTATTAGTGGTTCTTTAGAAGCACCCAGTGTTTGGAATGAATCAGACTGTTTTGGCTATACAGCATTCCCGTGATGAGTAGTGGTTAGAAACATTAGTAATTCAGAAGCACTATTTCCTTAATCTACAATTTCTTTTCCCTTTCAGACGGATGAACCAGAGGTCATAGCATTTCTCCTGGGGTCGGAAATTATACCTCTTTGTCTGGTAATCATGGAGTCAGGAAGTGAACTGAGTAGAACTGTGAGTTTTGCGTCTTCCAGTCAATCATGTGTTGAAGTGCATTTAGGAAAATCATTAATATATCAGTGTAGCAATTCAGACTAGACTTTACAATTCGAATGCAAGAAATTGGACATCTTCTGTTAGTGTTTCACTGTTGTTTATGCAAAATACTGTTGTATCCTGGAAATTTCCCACAGTTCTGTGAATATCATTTAAACAGTAGATGAAATGACATTTGTCGTTTGCAGTTCTGATTTATTATACAAGAGTGATGTGATTCAAAATCCAATTAGGATAGAGTTAACTGTTGATCACATGATTTGGTTGCCTAGGTATTTGTTTTACAAAGTACTTATTTTGTTAGAAATCTAAAAACGTGAAGTTCACATTAGACGACATCATTATGTATGTGACTATTTCACATTGGTTATACCACCTGCAAACTCCACGTCACTAATTCATTCCTCCATATCCTTGTAAACAATCTAGGTGGCGACCTTCATTATGCAGAAGCTTCTTTTGGATGAAGTCGGCCTGGCGTACATCTGTCAAACTTATGAGCGTTTCGCTCACGTAGCTACTGTTTTGGAAAAAATTGTGATCGACTTGGCTAGAGAGCAGTCATTACGCCTTTTGAAACACGTGATTCGGTGCTACCTACGTCTTTCAGATGATTCGCGGTAAGTGTTTTCAGCCTAACAAGCAGGGTTATGCTTACATTGAAAAATGTCGTGTTATCATTTAAAGTACAGCATCACTATACGTTTCTTGTACCCGTTTTCTGCATAATATTGTTAGGACGGACAACATAATGTCAGCGATAAAGTCATGGTTGAAGCAATCTATGGGATATTTGATTGGTTGCAGGATTTCGTCATGCACTGACATTGGTTAGAGAAGCATTGGAACACCTGGGAGTACTAGACAGCTGTTTCGTCCTGTTGTGGTTGTTGTTTTTGCCGCAGTTGTCTCAATTGAATCTGACTTCTGTGTGTCTACTCAGTGTGGCGGACATTTTCCTAGTGATCAGTTGTCTGGAGACGCAATGTAGTCAGAATGGGTAGCAACCAACAAATCAGTAACACTCCGTTATAACAAAAATAACAGAAGTAATAAACTTCGCGAAATAATTGGTAATAATGGCGCAGAAAAATTACTAGTATCCTACTGGGAGCAGAATGTTATTGTTATTCATATCACATAGAAAGCAACTTCTATAGTACGTTTTAGTAGCCACTTATCTCTTACTTTCAAATTTAATGCAGCTCAGCAATCTTTCGAGAGTTTTTGTCTCAAAACCAAATGTTGATAAGACAGACCAGATAAATATTATGTGTCTTACAGATAACTATCACTTTAAACTGTTAAGTAGTGACTTAGACGTTATCGATGTCTAAATATGATAATTTTTACCTCCGATTTTTATTTCAGAGCGCGTGATGCTCTTCGAACATGTTTGCCACAACAGCTCATAGATGGCACGTTCAGTGGTTTGCTGGAGAATGATGTGGCTACTAGACGATGGCTCACACAGTTGATTCGTCGACTGTCTGCTGCAACAGTTGCATCTGAAGGTACTGCCAGTACAACGCTTTCTAGTGTTGGTTCCATGGAAGCTACTACACTACAGGCCGTTACTGGTACTCTCGCCTGCCTTCCATCAACTACAACGGTTGGTTCCTCTGTGACTACTGCTGCATCTAGTGTTGAGATTTGTGGAACGTCTGTTTCAAGTGGAGTCACAAGTGCTTCTGTGAATGGGTCAGGAGCACTTGTATCTTCGTCATGTACACAGGGTGTGGACTCTGTGACATCTACGAGCAGTTGATGAACTTACGTATAACCCTGGGAATGATGTTATACGTAATGTGTATATATGATTTCTATTTCTATTGTAATTGATTTACTTTTACTCGCTAGTGCTTGACATGCCTATTATCTAGTATTTTTGATGATAAGTTTTCCACTTTATTCCTAACGTGATTGTAATTTTGCATTATCTCTGTATGGATCCTTATTCTGATAAATTTACTAATGTCCATGTGTTTTATGCTACTAGACACATATATGTCCAGACCAAGTTTACTTTTAACAGTTTGGAAAAAAGTTGGGCATTGGGTATATGATGTTAACTGAAGACGACTGCAAAAGCTTCTTATTCGTTTCATATAACATATGCATTTGGCAATTTTGAATGTGTAAATTGAACAAGGTGTTTAGTAGTAGCAGGCGGATTAGCTATTGAGTTGAGTCTCCACGTTGTTCGGCGAACTTTTCGTGAAGTCTGTGCATCTTTGTTTGATTTCGTTAGTTCTATCAGTTCTAAGTTTGATTGGTGTTGGAAGGACTCCATGAGACTTATTTCGTTTTCATTCAGTTTCCCCACAGTGGAGCACTGGAGTATATATGTAAGCTTAATATTTAAACAAAATAAGTCAAAATATTCGTTTTTCAATATTAACTCTTCAGTCGGAATAATTACAGCTCAGTTGTGTGTTTCTGTGCTTCGAATGAGAAGTGTCAGTATCATAAGAAGACTTCATCAGAGAAGCTTCCTTTAACAAGCAGGACCAACAAGTGTAACAGGATAATGAGCTTATTTTTATTATTCCATGGGTTCTTTTCAACTGCCTATAAGCTTAACAAAACGAAAATTTAAGTTTTAAAAAGTGGTTAAACACTGCTTTTTTCGTGTTGGCCATGAGTTATTGATAAAAAGTCTAAGTAACATGAGTCCGGAATGATGTTAGTAGTTAATTGTTAGGCGTTAGTTAAGAGTGATAACTATTTATGGTATAATTAGACAAATGTTCTTGGAGAAAGGACCAGGGTTCAATACTTTGGATAGAAACAAAGTCTAACTAGAAAGGTTATATTAGTTAGTGAAATAGGTTACGTGACTGCGAGAATTGTTTATACAATAATAAAAAGGAGTTGTATGTGAGTGGCCTACAGATGAAAAGTCGAAATATACAAAGGTATATTCGTCGTAAAGAATTCTGCAATTGACTGTATCCGAATCGCAGTTGTTTTGGTCTAATAAGCTATAAAAGAGGTTTGGTGTGGAAATTGTTCTACCTCGGTGAAAATCTTTGAAAGAAGTAGAGATACGAATTCGCCATTATTGAAAAGTGCTAACGGGAAAGTAGATATTTTCCGAAGCTGAGGTGCCATCGTCCACCGAATAATTGATACCAGTCATGAAATTGATGTGTTGAAATCACTTGAGATAAATAAAGTTCAGGGGAGATTGAATTCGTATGGATGAAGGTAAAAGCTGTTATTAGTCTTACATTGCGATGACTGACTGGTTTCAACATAGATTTTTGGTTCACAGCCTCGTCGATTGACTTCCCCTCCTTACCTAGCACTCGACCGATGCCCAACCTCAATATTGCTCCCTCTGTTTTACCACGTCACACGGGAGATAGGACGCAGGCACCTATGATCAAAGACAGCTAGCCTTACCATGTCCTCCACTCTCAATGACCAAGTGTCACAGCCATAAAGGAGGATTGGGCGGACTGCTGAGCAGTACACACGCCTTTCGGTGGATAGCCGGCCGGATATCACGTCTATGCCAAAGACGGCGTAAACTGGCATATGCGAAACTAGCCTTCTGTATCCGTACTGAGATTTCGTCAGCGATCAACCCGTTGGTGTTAGCTGATGCAACTCCCCAAATAAGTGAAGTGGTCAACGTGCTCTACTGCTTCACTCCCTATTTCTAAGCTAGGAGTCAGTGTTATCCTGTGTTTATATCCCATTCAGGGAGGTGTTGGATGTTCGGTAAGTTAAGCTTGGGTGTAGGCCAGTTAAACTGCTCGTCAAAGTGTCCTTTCCAGCGTTCCAGTCGTCTATCCTGGGAATTAATTTTCGCGCCATTTTCCTGAGAGATTGTTTCACTTATCGTTTGCCTTTTACCACCTGTTTCCCTGATAAGTCTAAATAGTTGTCTGGTGTTACCAGTCGCCATTGCCTTTTCCATCTCTTTCGCTTCTGTCGCTCACCACTGATCACGGTCGTTTCGAAGGCTTCTCGTTAGTTTGCGTTTGAGTAGCTTTCGCTCCTCATGATAATCGGAGCTCACCGGAGTCAGTCTTCTTGCGTTAATCAGTTCGGATAAGACGGTAGAAATCCACTGTCTCTAACTAATTTTTAGCTTTTTGTTATTAACAGGTTTCTCCTACTTCTGTTTACTCGTAAGCATAAACGTGCGCGAACCAGGACGTGATCGGAGTCAATGCACATGTTACGGAAAGAGCGACAGTCCTCTAGAGACCCTCGCTAACGATACCCTATCGCCATGTGGTCTGTCTGAGTCCATCGTTGATTCGGTAATGGAAGTCGCCAGATTACGCAATGATTGTCTTTGTGCCTAATGTAAGTGCTGATTAGGAACAGATGATTATCTGAACAGAACTGTAGAAGACGATCACCGCTGTCGGTTCGTCGGCAGGGAACTCCGTACGTACCACCTACATACTTCTCAGTCTGGCACAACTTCCCTACTTGGGCATTGAAGTCGCCTGCTGAAACAAATATATCTGAACGTTTTGCTTTTTGCAGCAAATTAAACAGTTTCAGGTGAAAATCATCCTTTAGTTCATCCGAACTGCTGTCTGTTGAGGCGTAAGCGGAGACTACGGATAGACAACGTCGGTTAACGCCATCCATCCTTCTTCTGACGGATCCGTTCAGACGGACCTCATACATACAACTATCTGCTGGGATCCATTCAAGAAGTGATTTATTTTGCCCTAACACTCGATGCTATCCCTACACCTGCGAATCTTCGCGAACTAGCTGAGGGGTCTCCTGACACCCTTAGAGTGAATTTCGCAGATTCACCTTGTTGACCTGGTCAGTGTAAGTGAATGACTACACTCGAGTCTTGTATGCGTGTCTCCGAAACACAACATACATCCATGGCTCGAGGTGCCAGAGTTCTTGCTAGTGATGCCTGTTGTCCGATTCGGCAGAGGATCCTGACGTTGAATGCTCCTATATGAAGTTGGCGACGTGGCTTTAAGAGGCTGTCCGGGGTGTTTCTATGTCTCTCATCGTTGTTTCTGGTCACAGAGATAAGTGAAGATGACTCACTAGCCTGAAGAATAGTACTGACTGTAGTAGGGGAGTAAGTTGACGTGAGTAAAGAAGAATGATACACAGGGAGGCTTCGCGTGCTCTTGGAAGTGTGTGGGCGGTTGTTACTTCCCGGCTGCCCACACCGTGGAAGATGACTGATTCTTCGGGTACCTGAAACAGGACGAGGGTTAGTGTTGCGTGACCGCAGAGCCCAGGGGACAACTGCTTGAGACCGGTCACACACGGCCTGTATGAACTGGTTTCTTGTATTGGTTCCGTATTAGTAAACTTACCGCCGGTTACGGACCACCGCAGGGTTAGTCGGGATGTACAATTGTTGTGGTCGACATTTTCTAAGCGGCTCTCACCAGAATGGAGAGATGGCATAGCTAGCATGTTGGTCATCTGAGGGAAACACCTTACTACTGTTAAATCCCTGTTCCCCAGTGGCAGTACAACTTCGCTCACAGACACCCAGCATAGTGTAAAAAATTATTACACTATGTCGGTAACTGCTTTTAGTCCAATCGCTATCCTAACAACCTCCGTGGCATCGTAGGACCTGCAGGAACAATAGTTCCAGACAGTGTAGCTTGTTGGATCATTGTGAAATGCAAGACTGACCACCACGTCAAGGTAGCAGCTATCGGTCGGGACATCGCCAGGGTGAATATAATTTTCGTTTCTTCAGCTTTGTTGTTCCAATTAAATTTGCCTTGACAATGTATTTCCACATTCTTTATTTTTTTGTTCATCTACACTCTTGACCGGACTACTTCTTGCCCTCTGTTTAATTAAACTACTTAACCCATACTTAGATGTTTTGTCGATTTATGCCTTCATTCTATTCGAAACATTCGTCCGTAATTCTAGAATATTCTATGATTATTTTTGTGCACACTGACAAGCGCAACAACTTTCGTTCCTTTCCGTTATGACATTTAACAACTCTACACTATTATCCTTTTTATTTGTGACAAATAATTAGAGTATTTGAATATTTTGTATACTGATATTAAATTTTTTATGGTTGTATGCAGTTGTAAAGAACCGACGAAATATAATGAAGTTATTTTTTCTTCTATATGTGGAGCACCTTTGCTTCACCCTAAAATGTGTGAGGGATTCGGTGTCACCCTTGTTATCTATGGACCAGCTATAAACTGTTAGGCTGTTGTCGAATACCTGGTCCTGCAACCGATGTATCTGTTCGCTTTGCGTTTAACCCCTGCAACTTTCTTCACAATCTAATATCCTCTTCGCATTGCCTCCAAAAGATGAGCTACACCTGTGCTCCTCGATTTCATAATCATGGTGTACAATACCCTTCGGGACAGGATGAGCACTAGGTGATATTACTGGACGTATTCCTGAACTCGACGGCTTCCTAATACTCAGCTTTTCACTGATATATTTTAGCTGGCTTACGCTGATGGAGCACCGCTTCGTGGTACGGTGAAGGCGTGACTTTTATTTTCCATCTGAATGGCATTCGTCTGCTATTCCATTGACTTCACCGAATTCATGTCCTTGCAACTCTTCCAGTCCGTCAACATCTAGGTGCTTTAGAGGCCGAATTTTCTATCGAAATCACTATTCAGACTGCACACCGACAGACTGTAACATTGTAGGAGGCTAGTGGCGCTTTCGAAACAATTTTCGAGAGCAGGCTGCAGCACAAATGGAGAGGGAGAAACTTAGTCAAAAATACGGAAGTGAATTGATTATTCAATAGATGCGGAAAGACATACAAATCATGAAGATGATATAGACACCACCTGGATTCCGGCTCCAATCAAGTGCTAGTAGCATGCTGTGTTTTGGAGGCCC